CAGGCTTAAGAACAATTGCTTTAAATTATGCCAAGTTTCATAGCTTCTCTAATCGTTAGACCACCGACTGTGATTTCATTGTTATTTTAGCTTGCATTTCCAGGTAATAAATGTTACATGGCTGCAATGCAAAATCACTATAATTATACCTCACTTTTGAATGATTACTCTTTTGTTTTGAGGTTTTTAATGAAATGGATCCATTTTATACAGTCATACCCTCTGCTTTCCCTTTGAAGAATGAGTGCATGCATGAATACAAGAAAAACGGCATTTTGCAAAAGGGGACCCATTAGTTAAAAAGCCCTTAAGTACTGTTACTAATTTAATAAGAATATTTGTTCCCAGATGTATTGCACTGTATGACAATAGGATGGGATGGTAGGACTTGCCAGAGTACAGACGTCATTGTATAGATCGGTTAGAAGGGTTCGACTATTTTAAACCTTTCATACTGTTTTAAAAAAAAAGTAATGTTTTTGGTAGGACTCTTACTGCCAGAGACATTTGTCTTAATGTTTATAACTGTAGCGTTATTGCTTTAAAGGGTATTATTTAAAAAAATTTGTAGAAATATATTTGAAGTTGACTAGATAAACTAACAACCTCATATTATTTTATAATTTATGTAATCATTACTTAAGTGACAGTCTTAAACACACGACAACCATACAATCTAGCTAGTTATTGTCATTAAAACACTTACCCAGGGGGAAGGAGAAAATAGTCATAGAGCTAATCAGGTGAACAAGTTGATTAATTTTTCATTATCGGCTCTATGCTGCTGTTGTCCTACTCCTCTCAATCTCTCCTTGTCTTTCTCCCTTTATTGGTCTGCCATGAGCACATACCTTTAATTAAAATAATAACAAAACACTTGAGCTGACTAGACTGCTCCTGTGTCACCTAGGTACTCGTTTGTGTGTACAGTATCTGTGTGTGTCACTCACAAAGATTTTCCACTCACAAAAAATGTCTTCTTCTTACCTCTCCTTATCCCCAGGCAACATTTCCGCAGTCCCTGATCAAAAACGCATACACACAAGACAAGTCTATATTGTATGCAAACCTTAACTGCGATTTTATTTTTCTTAATTGTTACTTTTTCTATCTTGCAGTTATGAGCTGCAAGATGGAAAAGTCAGAAATACATTTCTCAGTGTGCCTTGATATCAAATACAACTTTATTTCTCACAATTGCAAATTTACACTACCAAAAGTTTGGGGTCAGTATAATGTTTTTAAAGAAGCTAATACTTTTATTCAGCAAGGATGCACAGTATGACAGTACTGTGCATGATGACAGTAAAGACATTTATAATATTACAGTTAACAAAACATTATAATTTTCCACAAAAACATGGTTCAAAATAATTTAATATTAATTAAATTAATTTAATAGTATTAATTAATTTAATAGTAAACAGTTATTTTATTGTATTAATATTTTTTATTAAATAAATGCATTCTTGTTGAGAATAAGAGATTTCCTTCAAATACAGTACATTAAAATTCTTTCTGGCCCAAAACAATAGTAGTGTATATCTTTATTTCTCACAATGTAACTGTAAGGCCCACTTTATTTCTTATTTCTTATTGTATCTCACAATTACCAATGTTTTATTTTTTGCTCTGAGCAAGAAATTGTAAAATTAATAAATAAATTAGATGGTTTAGATGGAGGTCACTACCAGTGTGTGTGCCCACTCAGTGTCAGTTTGGCTGCCAGTACATCAGTATTGCCCTTTTGCCTTCAAAGGTCACATGGGCAATTTTCTTGCCCTTCCTCCTCTTTCTTGCTTGCTCTCTAGCACATTTCTGTGACAGTTCTGTTAGTAATCTTGACACAGAGCACTACCTCTGCCACTTCCAGATGCTCCAGTCTGCCTGAACAGATACAGTGACACATGCACACAACACACACACACACACAAGCATGCACAAACCATAAAATCATTTCAACTCTGAAGTGAATGCTTTTATGTTGTTATTCATAGAGGGTAGAGTGTATGTTATCGATTACTGTTCATTTTTCAATAAACCACTAAAAGCATCATTTTGGGAGAGATGGTCAACCCACTGCAGTATTCAGACTTGGAATAAAGAATTGTGGTTAGAGAGAGAGTTGAAGTACTACCTGTTACTCTTGGCAGAATGACTCATTCACTATTCATTGCCACCTCACCCGTTCTATCACAATGGCATCATAGCCTTCATGAGGTGCATATTTAAAATAAAAAATAAGGATCGGTTTGCATATTAACTTAAGTGCATTTGTATTAACGTTGTATGTGACAACTTTTTTACTTTCAAAACGCACAATGTTTTCTTAAAAAAAAAAAAGCAAATAACAAAGACATTTTTGGTTCCCTGTTTTTGTTGTGTATGCTTGTGTTTGTATGCTTTAGTGTGGGTGTGTGAGTACTTGTTCATGCAGCAGTAATAAAAAATACCATGGCATTACCATGATACCATGCTAATTGTTAATAATATATTTTGGCATGTCAAAGGTAATACCATGGTATTCTTTTAAGCTTTGAAAAAACAGATGGGAGATTAGAGTGTCTGATACCATCACTATCATAGAGTTTCAGCAATATGTTTTTGTAATGGTGTCTTTTTTTTTTTTGGCACATTACATTTGTATTCATTAGTCCTGTAAATATTTCCATTATACTGCTATAAGTTTGAATCTTACAATTTATAGTTTATACATAACCATATTAAAGATACTATCATTCTTATTATTATACTTTATATTATTATATATTCTATATACTGCAATTACAGAAGATGAAACTATTATCATTATCATGCATTCGTGTTATAAATTAAACATATTAACCCTACACAAAGACTGTCTTTTATTGGCTAATTATTTTGAATGGATGTGTGCAGAGTACCTTATGTAACTATTTATGCTCTCTGAAACCTGTTTCAAAATGACAGTCAGAAAAAAGTGAAAGGCATGAAAAGAGCACAGCATCAGACAGATAGTGATAACATAATGAAGAACATTATGACTCCCTAAGCCAGAACACTGCTGATGTTTTTCTTACATTCAATTAATATAAAGGCCCTGAATAGAATGAGATATGAAAATATATTTCAAACAGTTTTCCACAGATGTACAATAAAATGTATATTATCTTTGCAAAATGGGCAATGTTTATTGAATATGAACATGATCTTTTTAGTAATTTAGCTTATCAGTGCTCAACACACAACTTTTTTTTAAACTCTTATAAATATAAATAAATGATAAATATTTGATCAGCATGATCTTGTAAATGTATTAAATGAAACCTCTCAGGATCATCCTAGATAGAGAGACAGTATTTGACTACAAAACAACCAAGGTATGAAATGAAATCTGGGTTAAAATGACACGTTTCAGGCGCCATTAATGTAATGGACATATTGAGCCAAGACAGATGTGTGGGAAAGGGAGGCAGACAGTTCTGTGGTTCCCTCACTTTCACTCTCTTTACTGAGAGTGTCTATATAAACACACATTTCTCAACAAATGGAAAAACTATTGATTGGTTTCTCTGACAAAGAGAGGCTTTATACATGCCCTTTCTCTCCACAGTCACTATCCACTGGATGATAAAGTTTTCTCATATATGTTCAGAAGTACCTATACTCTATTTAATTCTCATAATGTTTTTTATAGATAGTGAATCCCTCAAGCAGAAATTTTAAACAGAATAATTCACCCAAAAATTAAAATGTTGTCAAAGTAATTAATATGACTTGAATACTATACTGTATAATATATTCCAAATCTTTTTTTTCAAATTTTAAGTCAAAATCTTGACTATCACTGTATTCCCTCATAATCTTAACTATCACTGTAACTTCCCTTGGCGCATTCATGAGACAAGCAGCAATGCACAATTCATGAACAAATGTTCTTTTGAGTCGGATCTTATCAATGAATCAGTTTATCCATTGAATGACTTGTTCATGGAGTGGATTGATCTGGTTCTCCAGTTTACTCAATGATCTAGCTGTAGTTGTTAACAACCCATTTGAGTGGAAAATAATCAGTGAATAATGACTGTTCGGTCTGTTTGTCGCTCACACAAAGCCATTGCATGGATTCATAAGACTTCAAATATTTGGATGGCTTTTATGAGACGTTTGCATCTTTTTTTAGCTTTACATTAATAGTTTAAGATGTCGATACGTTTGTTTCTTCATTGGAACAGATTTGGAGAAATTTAGCATTACATCACTTACTCACAAATAGATCCCCTACAGTGAATAGGTGCCGTCAGAATGAGAGTCCAAACAGCTGTTAAAAACATTACACAGTAATCACAAATAATCCACACAAATCTAGTCCATCAGTTAAGGTCTTATGAACCGAAAAGATGTTTGTAAGAAACAAATAAATCATTAAGGCATTTCATGTTAACTTTCATTCATAAATTCATGATAACACTTCCAGTGAAGAAGTCCATTCAGTTGTCCTCTCACCTCAAAATCTACAAACATATTTGTTTTGGACTGTTTTCACTTGTAAACAGTGAGTGATCTGTATGTATTTCTCTCCTGATTCAGATGAGATGACTTTTTCACTAGAGAAAGCAATATTATGAGGACTTGTATTTAAGACGGAAGGAACCGTTTAAGTTAAAAACATCTTACTGATGGATTTGTTTATTACAAACATGCAGCTTTTTACATCACAATACAATAATTGGACTGGAGTCATGTGGATTAATTGTTGATTATTGTGATGTTTTTATCAGCTGTTTGAACTCTCGCTCTGATGGCACCCATTCACTACAGAGGATCCATTGATAAACAAGTGATGAAATGCTCAATTTCTCTAAATCTGTTCACATGAAGAAACAAATTCATCTGCATCTTGGATGGCCATTTCTGGATCATTTTTGGGTGAGCTATTCCTTTAAAGCTCAAGTTCTGTTAGTTGTAATGTACAAGAGTCACCAGACTGTTATTAATCATTTATCCTTTTGTGTTCACAGATGAAATAAAGTCAAGATAGGTCAACGACAAGAGGGTGAGTAGAAGATTTTGTATTTATTTTTTTTTATCGGGTGAATTAATCCTTTCATAGCCTTAATGACAGGAAGCAGTAGCTACTCAAAAGAGCCAGGAGTCAGGTTTCCTACTAACATGTCAAATGATAATCTACAAGCATTTTACACTAGCAATCAGCGTTTACTTTGGTGCTGAAAAACTGCACCAATAGCGCTGTTGCTGTCTAAAGACGGACCCTCAGTAAGAGAGGATGGCGTCAAGGTCATTTGAGGGTAACGGTGTACACTGACACTACGCGCTCCCCAAAGGAAGCCATATTTTGCACAATAATCCTATTGATACAACACAATCAAATGCTAAAAGCTTTAATTTCCAAACCAATTCATGACGTAACGGGCACCCTCTTGCAGCATTAGTGTAATAGCCTAGATAGTAAATGATACATTATGCGCTAATTCTCATAATCATTATCTCGCGCTTCCATACTAAACCCATTACAAAACGACAATGCGGATTCCTCTGCAAGAACGCCCATCAGCCTAGGCAAGACACTGCTATACCGGCAAGCACGCAGTCAGTGACACGGATAATAAACGAATGATGCGAGCTGTTGTCCCTGGCAATGGGAATACGGCTGCTGCACGTGCCTGTAACACTCCAATAATACACATCCATGCGCGGAGCACAAATTAAGGCAATAAAGCATAATAATCTGTTTGAGTCGCAGGCATTGAAGAAATAGGAACGGTCCGCTTTAACGGTATGCAATTATAGACCGAAAGTGCAACGTCGATAAGATATTTTGTGGCAATGGGGGCGAGAGGGAACACACAGTACTATTGATCCCTGCACTAATGGGTCGCCCGGATGTGTTTGTATTCCATTCGAGAATTTTAAAATCTTATATAGATGGTGATTTATGACATAATATGGCTGTTTCCTACAGCAGATGTCCAATTCTAAGTTACTGGAGGAATAAAAACGAATAAACAGACTGATCAGCTAATGCAATAAACACATACGTACGCATCGTTTTAACTACCTGATAGCTCAGCATGCTCTCCTGGTCGCTGTTTTCGGCAGGCATGGTTAACTCCGTTTTAAAGCAGTCAAAGGTGCGTCGATTGCAGCTTCCACAGAAAGACGCGGATCAGATTAGCAGTTCCTATAGAGAAACTCCAGATCACTTGATGCATACACGGTTAGAGCGGGAGGCATGAAGTACTCTTGATCCTGTATCAAACTAACATTGAGATCTACACGCGCATTCGCCCTGTCTATACTTTAATGATGTTGTTAGGCGCGCGCGCTCTCCAGGACATGGAAAGAGGTACTGACTGTGGCAGCATCATATGTCGTCCAGCCAATCAGAGAGCTCGAAACGAGACTGTTGCTGAAGCTGTAATTCGATTGATGCGGTTTTGCACCTATACAGGAAAGTGCCAGAAATAGTTTAGAGGTTCTGCAAATCATGAGAGCGAAAATAATGTGACTAACATCTCAAGTGATGTCTGCATAAGGTCATGTTGTATATTGATGCGCTAAGTACTACAGTTATTAGAGAAAAATCATGATAGTGACTAAGTAAGCTACTTTCAAAGCCACACATGCTGTAATTGATTAGTGATCAGCGGTTTTATTTTTGTGATAAGTGAATAAACGTCATTATCAAGCTACTCGCTGAAATTTCATTTAGTTCAGTTATTTTTGCGCTACAAATGTCTACATATATGTGTAAATCATTTATGTTGCTTATTTAGATTAAATAATCTAAATACTCAAGTAAATGTAGTTACTGTCCGCCTCTGCATAAATCAAAACATAAATATTTTAGAGGCAATCCACGCAATGTCTATGGAGCAGTTTAGTCTTACAGTAATCATGCATTTGATAGCCTAAATAGTGATGTACATGTTATTGTCTTCTGTTTGGCCAAGCTAAAGAAACGTAGACATGACAACTGATGTGACGCTTTAACAATCAATCTGTTATGGAACATTAAATAATTCAAATGCCTTTCAAACCGATTGATTATGACACTTTAAAATATTCACCCATTCATGTTTGCTAATTGTTATTATTGTGCCGCCTGGGGAGATCGCTATATAATGAATGAGCTGTTATACTCAACCCTCCTGACATTTCTGAAACAGGCGATATTTAGCGCTAATGTGCGTAATAATTCAAAAGCCTGTATGTCTTTAATGTAATGGAGCCAAACGAGTCTAATAAAGTGGTGCTAATAGAACATTTCATAAAAAGATCATGAATATTCAGTATCCGATATTTGTTATCTGAATATTGGATATTGAATTCCTCAGAGTAGCACTGTAGCGTTGCGCGTTCCGCCTGGGTTGCCGCACGGCGTCATCCGTTTCCAGGAAACAGTTGTTAAGGGTGATGAAAACAGCACGCTGGTGCTGGAATGTGTGCAGTGCGCATGTGCTGAACGAGCGTTTCTCCGCAGCTCTACCGGGCTGGCCGGGCGCACCGGTGACCTTATCGATTTCACCAGACGGCTTCTGGCGGGTGCCAAATCCAGAGGTGAACGTCGCAATCCAGGTGAGTTTGCTCAGCGAATCTCAAAATCAATATGGTCGTGAACGGGCCCTTGGAACTCCATGTGTTTTTGTTATTTTGTAAGTTTTATAATGTCAAGTGGATCTATAAACAAGTGAAATAAGTTTTAAATTAACTATTGTGATTCTTTATTTAACGTTACTCAGTACCGTTGTACTTAGTTAGGGAGGGATGTGCATAGAATTGTTTTGTGTTGAATCTGAGCATGAGCTTCTGTGTAAAGCCGTTTCCAGGCAGTCATAAATTACAGTGTTCAACTATTGATGCATTGTATGTGCGGCTTACACTCATCTTGGTTATCATTGAGACCGAGACCGCCTTTAATATGTATTTGTGTGAGAGAGAGAGAGAGAGTTAAAGCGTGAACAATGAGCATTAAGTTAATTTTACTTTTACATTTAGGTTAAAAAGGGAAAGATTGATCCATTTTGTGAGTGATGCCAGAGTTAAATCAAACATGCACCAACATATGCAAGGTACAGTATACAGTATACACCCTTTTACCACTTTTTCACCAGTCATTTTTTATGTCCCTATATTTTCTTTGATGTCCCCATGATGTTACCTAATATAGACACAGACAAAACCTTAGAAGCTACAGTAACTTACCATTCATACGTTTGGTGTCATCAAGATTTTTTTTTTATTTAAAGAAATTAATACTTTTTTAGCAAGTGACAGTAAATACATTTATAACGTTACAAAATATTAGTATTTCAAATAAATGCTGTTCTTTTAAATTAGTTATTTATCTAAGAATTTTTAATGCATAGCGATTTTCACAAAATGATTAAGCAGCACAACTGTTTTCAACATTGATAATAATAAGAAATGTCTCTTGAGCACCAAATCAGCATATTATAAGGATTTTTGAAGCTTTACTATCACATGAATAAATTAACATTTTAAATATATTAAGAAAAAAAAACTTATTTTAAATTCTGATTCTATTTCACAATATTACAGTTTTTACTGTATTTTTGATCAAATAAATGTTGCCTTGGTAAGCATAAGAGATGTCTTTCAAAGACAGTAAACAACTTTTGAAAGGTAGATATCAGTGAGAAACTCTCATAAGCTCAACGTTTTTTATACTAAAATAAAAAAAACCTGTTGACATTATTAGATTGAATTCAAAACGTGATTTGGCCAGTTGAGTCTTTCAGATAATGTTTTTATAAGTTTATTTTCATGATATCTGTGAAGGCATTTTGAAAACTCTGGCCCACTCAGCTATTGTCAAATGTACACACACAAGATAAACCCTGCTATTTATTTTTTGTAAAGCATTTATATGTGCTGTATGTCACAGTGCCACCCTTGGAAGGAAGAGCTCGCTGTAATTATATAAATCTGCCTCTGATTAATGGGGACAGACTGAAGACAGCTAAGACTCTAGTGGACAAGGCAATAAAGGTTAGGCTTCTAAAATCCTAAGGAATCTTAGTAGAAGTAGTGCATGGAAGAACTTCAAATGATCTTGAATTTTAAACAATGATGACATTGAGATCTGAATGAACATGCACTGTCTATTTTGTTGCGTCTGATGTAGGAGAAGAAAGTGTTCTCTGTGCAAGGTCCATATCCTGTAATCCGTGCAGGCCTACGTGCAAGAGGATGGGTGGAGCGGCGGCTACCACGGCTCTCTGTCCCACGGCCTCGTCGACATGATCTTGAAACAGAAGCCACAGATGAGGGTGACAGCAGTGATGATGATGGTGAGAGTATCTGACAGAACTAAGATTAGACCCTTTCCATCACTCTGCATAGACACTTGATAAGGCTGGTCGGTTTCTGTGTGTACAGGTTAGCTATACACGGGGGACAAAATTGTACCCAGAAGTTAATTACTGGCACAACATTCTGTTGGGCATGTCAGGGGATGTTTTAAAATGTATATATTAAAATGTATAGCTATATTCAACTTTGTCTAGCACCCTTTTGCCAACCAGCAAGACATTTAGGACCCCTGTTTCTACCCCCTGAAAGTAATTATAATAAAACAACAGATGGGTATGGTATCTCTGCAATTAGATTTAAAAAAGTTACTACTTTTATTTAGCAAGGACACATTAAATTGATCACAGTTGACAGACATTTAAAACATTACAAAATATACCCCTGAAAGTAATTATTATAAAACAACGGATGGGTATGGTATCTCTGCAATTAGATTTTAAAAAGTTACTACTTTTATTTAGCAAGGACACATTCAATTGATCACAATTGACAGACATTTAAAACGTTACAAAATATATCTATTTCAAATAAATGTGTTTGTTTGATCGTTCTATTCATCAAAGAATACTGAAAAAAATTAAGGTTTTGACAAACATTTTAAGCAGCACAACTGTTTTTAACTGGCAATAATAAGACTAAATGTTTCTTAAGCACCAAATTAGCATATTAGAATGATTTTTGAAGGAGCATGAGACACTGAAGAGTAGTAGTAATGGCTGCTGAAAATTAAGCCCTATCATCACAGGAATAAATTACAACTTAAAATATATTTAAATAGAAAACAGTTAATTTAAATAATATTTCAAAATATCGCCGTGTTACTGTATTTTTAATAAAATAAATGCAGCCTTGGTGAGCAAGAGACTTCTTTCCAAACCATTAAAAAATTCTTACCAACCCCAATTTTTTAAACAATAGTGTAAACGTGTTTGTGTGTGAAGTATACTGTAAATGCTATGCTTCACAGCATCCTGTGTAACTGTTTAGTCAATGACCCACTGTAATCTAAAGCTCACTATGATAGTTTGAGTAGCTAACCTGACACCACTCATTCCAACAAACAGATGCCAGCGACATAGATCACGCTTTCTGTCCCTTGACTACTGTCTCACCACCTTCTCTGTTTCTTTATGCAGACTTAGGAGAGGAGGGAGAGAGGGACGATGAGGCAGATGATCTGTATGACCTAATGGTACGTTTAGAAACTGTGGAATTCCATTTAAGATAGTTGCCATAGCAGCTGGGTTTTTTAATGCGATTTGTCAACAGTGGACAGTCTCTGATTCTTATTTTAAATCCCTAGTCACGGTTGGTTCGCAATGAGACGGCATATTTCTACTGGACAACAAGGAGGGATTCAGTCGACTGTCGGTCTTTACGTAAAGACCAGATGACCAATCATTACGCAAAGGCGGGATCTTTCACCACCAAGGTTCATCACAAATTTCGACAAACGAAGCCATTGAAGCTAAAATTCTTCTACAGTATATTAAAACGTACTCATTACCTCTCATTTCGTTACTATGTCTTTTTCAGGTTGGTTTGTGTATGAGTTTGAGAAATCTGCAGTGGTTTGATGCAGCAGATCCCGATACATTCTTCCCACGCTGCTACAGACTGGGGGCGGAGGATGATAAACATGCTTTTATTGGTCAGTACTCTTGAAGGGGTGGTTGATTGCGATTTCACTTTTTTAACGTTAGTTAGTGTGTAATGTTGCTGTTTGAGCATAAACAATATCTGTAAAGTTACGAAGCTGAAAGTTCAATGCAAACGGAGATATCGTCTTTTAAAATTCTGACAGTTTAATGCCTACAAAAACGGCTGGTAGGGACTAAAACAAGTTACTTCCCGGGTTCGTGATGTCACAAACCCAGATAAACCCCGCCCTCGGGAAAAGGCAGCAAAGGGGGCAAGGCCATGCTGCGCTGCTTTAGAGAAGAGGAAGAGAAAACTAGGGGTGCACTTAAAAATCTATTCATATATGAATCGCGATTCTGTCTTCCTAACGATTCTAATGGATTCACAAGTTTCAAAATCAATGTTCTAAAGCAGCGGTTCTTTATACTGTTCCTTGCGTCGCCTGCTCGGCCTCTCTCTCTCTCATTCAGATCTTCAGCTCAGTTCTGCTCCATTTATACACTTATTTTCACATAGCTATGAGAAGCATTATACATGGACACGCGTGCAGTTGCCGTACTGTATTAAAGCTTTAATCAGGACAAAACCGTATATTAACAGCTAACATAAGCAGTAGAATTTACAAATAACAGCATATCTAAAAGTATGAGGCAACAACAAACAAAAAACATAGGCCGACCATTAAAGCCGTGCTTGCACAGGTTCTGCACGATCCTCTTCAATAATATCCTCTGCTTCTCAATCGGGCTCAAACTGATAAGCGATATTAGATGCCGTTGTTTACAATACAACCGGAGCACATGCCGCTGAGGTGAGGGGCAGGACGATTAGACACACTAGAGGTGATTTAGCCAATCACAACACACTGGGCTAGCTAACCAATCAGAGCCCATCGCCTATTTCTGAGGGCTGGGCTTCATAAAAACAGGAAAAGATCAGCCCGTTTCTCAGAGAAGGGACAGAGCGGTGTGGAATAGAAGTAAATTATGTGAAAAATAATAAGAGTTTTTAAAAAAAGACTGCACCCCATAAACACAATCAAGCCTAGAAAAAAGCCAGTGAACCACCCCTTTAATCTGGAAAATACTGTGTCCTTGCTTTTATGTCCCCTATTGGCTGCTTGGTTTCTTTTCATTTAACAGGTGATTATTTCCCCCCAAAGACACCATGTGAACTGTTATTATCCCTGGGGTAATCTGGGGTTAAATGTGTTGCTCACAGGCACAATTGTGATATATGTGCTCTGTAACTGTTCACGAGTTGCCCTATCCATGCATTAAACCGGCAATATTTCTGTTACCAGACCAGATCCTCCTAAGGAAATTGATTTTGTTCTGTTTCTTTACAGAGGACTTTAGACGGACTGCATGCACAAGTCTACTGATGTATGTTTTGGAGAAGTATGCAGGGGATTCAGAGTGGGAGAGAACCAGAGAGGTGCATGATGCTAAATCTCATGGTATGACACACACTAACACATACAAACCCACATTAGAACTCAAACATATTCACATATCTTCCCTCATTTGTAGGTCTGAGCAAGCCTCGTAAACAGCATGCCAATCAGAGGGTTGGAAGCTCGATAATTGACAATGCATTGTGTGTATGTCAGGAGTATCTGAACAGTTTAGAACACTGTGACATAGACATGACTTTGGAAACAACCCCTACCCTCTCAGAGCAACAGTGGAAGGTGTTTCTTCAGAATTATTATTTAGTTATTCAGTGAGTATGATTGTTTTTATTATTATTATTTATAGTGTACTTAATATATCATGAAAAAAAATATTTTTTTTTATCTTAAAGGTTTTTTTAAAAGTTTCAGGGCTGAACTTCTATAATGAAAATCATGTAATAAAACTAATCTGCAAAACTGTCTCATTCCAAATGTATGCAACTTTTTAACATTAGACAAATTACAGAATTTCTGGTGTTCAGAAACTTGGACTGTCCAGTCACAATAAAGTAATTAAGATTAAGTAGGATAAATAATTATTATATTTCATTGCTTTTGTGTTCACAGAATTATTGCGTTCCCCTGAGAAACTTTGGATTCACTCACAAAAGTATTAATATATGCAGTATATATTTCCTCTCACCTTATATTATTTCCATCACAAAAGTTTTGCAAGCAAACGCTAAGATTCTCGGGAAACACAAATGTTTTGTGAGTGAATGTAAAGTTTCTTGAGGGAGTGGAAAGTTTTATGAAAGAACGCGAAAGCATTGAAATTTAATATCTCCTCACATCTTTTTTTTTTTCTAATCACCATGTCCATTTAGGGGCTCTGTAGAGTAGTTATAAAGCTTTCTTGCTCTTTTCCTTTGCAGTGAAGGACTGACGATAGAGGGCTGTGAAGATTATGTGGAGCGTTGTAAATGCATGTTGGAGCAGATGCGTTGTTTTTGCCCCCAGATGGAGACTGATGGACTCTGCAACATCTGGATCATTAAACCTGGGGCCAAGTCACGAGGCAGAGGTGAGTTTGTGAAGACTGAAGAAAGTGGTGTAAAAATAAAGCAAAACTATTTAATTTACTATTGACTTTACTGTTGTAGGTATAATGTGCATGAACAAGCTGGATGAGATAATGAGTTTAGTAGATGCAGACCATGACATCATGAAGGACAGTAAGTGGGTGGTGCAGAAGTACTTGGAGCGACCTCTCCTCGTGCATGACACTAAGTTTGATGTAAGACAGTGGTTCCTGGTTACAGACTGGAACCCACTTACTGTGTGGTTCTACCTTGAGTGCTACCTTCGCTTTTCTACCCAGCCTTACTCCACTCATACATTGGACAGGTAAGAAAACAAATGCCAAACATTACAGGGATAGTTCACCCAAAAATGAAAACATTTACATAGTCATTAAAAACGTATCTGACTTTTTTCTGTAAAGCACAACAAAAGATATTTAGAAAAAAATTTTGTCCATTTTTTATTTTTTTTTGGACCCCACTTACTTTCATTGTAACACAGTGTCTACACCGGACGCGAGCGGCGCAGTGCGGCCCGACGCGATGCAACAAAATACAATAGAACCCATTATAATCAGTGATGCTGTCTACACTGGATGTACACAACAAATCCCCGACTGATGCCTCATTCTGTTTATGACGTACTGACACAAAGTTCAAATGATTTGCAATTGGGGATGCACCAAATATTCGGCCACCGAAAATTTTCGGCCGAAAATGGCCCAAAAGTGCATTTTCGGTTTTCGGCCGAAAGACTTTTATCACCGAAACAATACGGCCGAAATGTTTTGATGACGCAAACAGAAACCGCGACCTGCACGTGCTTGTCTGAAGCAACATGTCTGCGGTGTGGACGTATTTCAGTATATCTGCGAAAGACCACCAGACAGCGATTTGCAAAACATGTAATGCCGAAATTTCAAGAGGGGGTGCATCTGCAAAGACTTTATCCACGCCAATAATTTTCATTTCGGTGCATCCCTATTTGCAATGGTCGCTTTGTCGTGTCCAGTGTAGACAGCATTTAGCTATTGTGGCATGGTGTGGTGTAGAAACGGTGTAAGGCCAAAAACTGATGAAATTCTTGAAAATATCTACTTTTGTGTTCTACAGAAGAAACAAAGTCATATAGATTTGGAACAACATGAGGGGGAGTAAATGAGGAAAGAATTTCCATTTTCGGGTTGAACTATTCCTTTAAGAGATTATTTATTAGGCTTCAATTAATCTTTTTTTAATTATTATTTTTAAATTTTTCCCTACTTTCCACCCTCAGTTCTGTACATCTTTGCAACAACTCCATCCAGAAGCATTTTCAACCAAGCCCAGATCGCAATCCTTCTCTACCCGCTGAGTGCATGTGGTCATGTTCACAGTTCCGCTCCTGGTTGGCTGCTTCAGGCCAAGGTGACCTGTGGGAAGGGGTGGTGGTTCCAGGTATGCAGAAGGCTGTTATCCAAACTCTCTTGACTGCGCAGGACAGTGTGGAACCTCGCAAAGCCAGTTTTGAGCTTTACGGAGCTGACTTTATGCTGGGACGGGATTTGCGACCTTGGCTTTTGGAGATCAATGCCAGCCCCACCATGGCACCCTCCACAGGAGTCACAGCTCGACTCTGCCCCGCTGTACAGGAAGACACTTTGCGGGTGGTGCTGGATCGACGATGTGACCGTAACACTCACACTGGCGGCTTCCAACTAATATACAAACAGGTACACGTGCAGAATGTCAAGATCGCCAAACCAATTGAAAAAAAACAAACATATACTGTATACTACTCATCAAAAGTTTGGGATCAGTAAGATTTTTTTTATAGTTCTTATGTTCACCAAGGTTGCGTTTATTTGATCAAAATACAGTACAGTAAAACTGTAAAGTATTATTGCAATTTAAAATATGTTTTCTATGAATAAATGTAATTTATTCCTGTGATGATAAAGCTGAATTTTCAGCAACCATTCTAATATGAGAAATCTTTCTAATATTATTTTATGATTTCTTATTAACATTTGAAAATAGTTGTGCTGGTTAATATTTTTTTGGAAACCATGATATTTTCCTGAAACGAAGAATCAGGATTCTTTGAGAAATAAAAAATGTAAAAGAACAGTGTTTATTTGAAATATATATATTTGTAACAATATCGTTACTGTCATTTTATCAATTTAAAGTGTCCTTTCTGAACACTTTACTTCTGACTCCAAACTTTTGGTGGTGTCACAACTGGTTGTGAACCACATGCACGACAAGGAAGATGATGCTTCAAACAGTCATTAATAAATCCATAAGAAAAAAAATTTGGAGATTCACAGAAATAACTTAATGCAACCTCTTATTTACGCAAGGTAAACATTAAGCTGCTTGGTTTATATATTCTTGTGTATAAATGTATATAATACATTTTTTCAAATTATATTGCATACCTGTTGCTGCATAATAATGAACCATTTCAAATGTTTATGTATTTTTCTTCTCTTTCTTCTGTTTGTTCCTAACAGCTCACTATCGCTGTGGTGGAGCAGTTATGAAATATTGTTCTTGTATACATTCCAGCATTTCAGTAGTAAATATACATGCAAATTACAGCAAAGTGCAACAGTTACCATACGGTGTTCGGCAGTGGTCAAAAAGGATTTAAACAGTGAATTTTGAATCGATTTCTTCTTGTAAACTCAGAGATGTTGTCCCAGACAAACGCTCGCCTCCGGTCGCTACAAACACGAAATGCACACAGTCAATATATCTTATCCAGTCTTACGCGTGCAGAAATACCTGTCACTAAACCATAGACGGGCCATGGACACTTTCACAGAGAGAGAGAAGGGCCAAAGTCATCCTGAGGAATCTTTTGGAGAAAGCTATTTCATTCAAACAGATTATTGTGAGTTAATATGATCTAAAAGGAGTTTTCAAACCCATATACTTATCAATCTACTATTAGAAATAAGAAAGAGAACAGCATATTTAGTTGAGGAAGAGAATTCCAGCACATTTTTCCTGAGCACAGTTATTTATTTATGTAGATTTTAAATCTGTCATCATTTACTTTTTAAAACCTGAATTTTCTTCAAAAGTTAATCTTATGCAGAATATTGACTGTTCCTTTCCATATAATGGAAGCATACCTTGGCCAGGGCCTGTTAAGCTCCTAAAAAGACCAAAAAGCACCATAAACACTTGACCATACAACAGCTTTTAGAATTTGGACTTTTTGGGTAATCTACTGTATTGTTTTACAACCAAAAAACACATCTTTAACAATACATGATATTTAATGTGAGATATACAGTAGTACTATTATGGAATGCCTAGTTCTGTATTATATTGATATGGGAATCTTGACTGTAATATTAAGCTTAATGGTGCTGAATTTTGTATTATCCAGAAACAATCAGGATGCTTCATTTTAAGCTGTTCTTTGACAATGCTACTTATCAGAAACACTAGTGACATTCTCAAAAAAAAAATGTATGCAATTTGAATTAAGCTAAGTGAAAATAAGATTTGTATAAAACTAATTTGCACTATTATGATGGTAAAACCTTTAACCAAACTCACCAATGAATGGAGGTAGCATTCATCTTTTTAATCTTCCTAATTTTTTGTCAGTGCTCATCATGTGGATATAAATAATGTATGCTAAATCCACCATGATAGCTTTTTATAATATGTGTTAATACAGTTTGGTATGTCATAATGTCAAAATGACAGGGTTTTAGGGACATTTTTGTATTTTTGCATAAACTTGATCATCCTGATCATCTACAATAAAAGGGAGCACTTGAAATCACTGAAAAATTGTGTGGCTTACACTCACTTATGTCCCTTTTTTTATTCTACAGGTACATATGAGTTATATCATTTTTATTTATTATAATTTATGATTTTTTTATCTATTAGCGTACATTTATATCAAGATATTTTCAGAATGTTTGCATTTGACTTTAATTCAGAGAAATTGCATTTATTTATTTATTTTGCCCATTAACATGCATTGATATCAAGATATTTTCAGAATGTTTGCATTTGACTGTAATTTAGAGACACTGCACTCAGTCACATATCCAATACAAGCAAATCGAGACATGCTGAAAACTTTCATATCAACAAACACTAATTTTATACACACACCCATTAGCAGACACTGTAAAAATAATATTACTCACATTTGTGACCCTGGACCACAAAACCAGTCTTAAGTCGCTGGGGTATATTTTTAGCAATAGCCAAAAAACCATTGTATGGGTCAAAATTATCGATTTTTCTTTTATACCAAAAATCATTAGGATATTAAGTAAAGATCATGTTCCATGAAGATATTTTGTAAATTTCCTACCATAAATATATCAAAACTTCATTTTTGATTAGTAATATGCATTGATAAGAACTTAATTTGGACAACTTTAAAGGCGATTTTCTCAATATTTAGATTTTTTGCACCCTCAGATTGTCCTATCCTAACAAACCATACATCAATGGAAAGCTCATTTATTCAGCTTTCAGATGATGTATAAACTTCAATTTCGAGAAATTGACCCTTATGACTGGTTTTGTGGTCCAGGGTCACATTTACTTTTCAGCAGATCTCAAGATCTGATCAAAGGATGTTTGTCTGAATAGGATGTAGTTAAAATCTAAAAGTACTTTATGAGGGAATTATCTTGTAGTAAATCTGAAGTTCCCAATGTCCACCAAGCTTTTGCATGGCAAAATACTTGTTTTCCTTTTATCACTTTATTATGTCTGTACTGTAATATACCACAGTCATGGTTTATTATCCATATGGCAATAAACAATACATACTGTAATAAGCATGGCATTTCGCTTAATTATATATAGATGTCAGATGTCTAGGTAGGAGACTTAAACCTCAAAAGAAAAAATGACAGAATGTGGTAGCAAATCAACCAAACACATCTCTCACCCCCTCTCTCAGACACACCACTTTCTCTGTCACACATGTTGGGCATCTGTGAACTCTGTAACCTACAGAGGCACAACTAATATGCAACACAACCAACCACAGCCATAAAAACACCTAGTGATACTTACGTCAGATATATTTTCCACATTCAGACCCATACATTTCAATAAGTCAAACACTTTCTAAATCTTTTATTTCCATGAATTATTTCAATTATGTTGTTCAAAAAATAATTTGAATTATGTATAGGCCTATATATTTAGAGAGAAGAGAAATATTGAAGTATTCATGTTTCAGTAAGCCTAGTACTTACATTTAAGTATCTCATACAAGCAAATCTTGACAAGTAATTACAGAGCCAAAAAAAGTAGGCATGTATGTGCACATTTTTTTAACACTCCTACAAGGTTGTCTCGCTTTTCTAAGTAGAGCTTGACCATCAGCGCTGGGATGATTGATTGATAATCCATGTAATCAGCAAATGTCATCTCTCTGCTTTGGCTTTTCCTCAGAGATTCTTGATTGTCTTCCATGATGATTTGACAGAAGTTCTTGGAAGTACTGCATGAGAAGTATAAAAAGGCTGGAATGCCACATCGATGACCCATTGAGATGTTAACTAAATAGGATGATTGCACCGAGAGAGAGAGAGAGAGACAGATAGGGAGCAATAGGCTAAGTGTAAAAGAAAGAAGCACAAAACTCTAAAATAACATCTTAAGCCTCTTACACACTTTGCATTCCACATGCCCAGGAGGAAAATGACAACTTGACAAGTATAAATGAGCAGGATATTAGCAGGACAGAATTGTTCAGTTTAGTGGTTAACATGCTTGCTTATCATGTTTAATCATGTTTAACATTACTGATTATTCAGTGGCATGACAATTTTTATTATATTTTATTATTATTATTTTCCTTTTTTTATTAGCATGAAAAAAGGCTGATTCTTTGATTGCAAGCCAATAAAAGATAAAAACAATTAACCTTGTAAGTGTAAATCATATCATGTCTTCTGAGTGACATAGGAACGCTCAGTGATTTATCTGCTCTCTGACATATTAGCATCTGCCCTGTAACCACATCTCAAAATATGAACACACGTGTGTGTATGTGCAATAAGTGCGGCGTGTGTGAGTTGTGTGTGTACCTGAATGCTGCGTGTGTGTGATTGGTCGTCATCATCACTGTATTTCTTCCGCTTCTCTATTAGAATAACCTCTGGTCAGTCAGTTATTTAGAGGAATAAGGAAATACTGTAAATTACACTCAATCCTAAATTTAATTAGAATATTAATGTACAGCAGACAAAATGTGAGGATAAATGAGGATATTTGTTGTGATTATAGAGGTCCCATGAGGAGAAAGGAGTTTTGCATTACATCAGAGGCATAAATATAGTCTGTCTGTACATATGATGAACAGATGACAAGAAAAACACCCCAAGCTTCCTTGGATTTGAGTGGACAACTGAGCAAGAGTATTCAAAACTGTGCAATCTCAAAAACTTGTTAAACCTGGTGAACATGTGCAGTTCTGCTCTCCTGCCATCTCATTACAATGCTGCTGATAAACTGTATATGTACAGTATCTCTACTCAGAATCTGACACTTCTCAATATTTTAAATTACAATAAATCTCAAATTCTCAGCCCCTAGGGAAATGAAAAAGCATGCCATGAGAAAGCATTGACCTTATGAGGCTCATATGTACCTGTTAGTGTGCTGTTTAAGCAGGTAAAACATGCTGAAGACATATTGCTCTCATACAATCACCTTCACCTGCTAAACTGCTTTACAGAGGGATGCTGCAGACAGACCATATTTGCTTAAACTGACTCACTTTCTCATCTTTCAGCATCTCCGCTGACACTGAATGAGCCTGTTACCCATTCCTGTCCTGAAGGAATGTGTGTGTGTTTGTGTGTGTGCTAGTGTGAATGTCAATGCCCCACCCTATTTTCTCACACACAGTAGAGCAGCATCCTGCATTCTCTTTTAATTTCAGCTAAACAGTCCACGTATGACTTGGCTAATATTCATTGCTGCACTTGACTGTTTTTTAAAATGAGAATACATTCAACTCTTATATGCTTTCAAATATTGCTATATAATAATAATAATAATTTAATATTTTCCTTTTAACAATAACAACAACAATAATATATATATAAACATATATATATATATATAGTTGTTGTTGTTGTCTTACTAATATATTGTTTTTATTATATTATAGTATTATATAAATAATAGATAATACATTATTATAAATAAATAATACATTATTATAATATATTAAATACTGTATTTAATAATAATAATAATAATAATAATTATTATTATTATTATTTAAATGAAGCTTCAGTTATACTGTTATACCTTGCTGTAACCCGCTACTTCAATTTAAATCACTTATTAAAGCTACCTAACATCAATTTTGCATATCATTGTTCATTTCAAATTGAACAACATTGGGCTACCACTCCCTTTTAAGCCCCCAAAATGTGTAAAATAAACAGCTTCCAAATACCCCCTCATTGTCACCCTGTCTAGATCTTTGTTTCCAGTGCAAGTCTAAGCCAGCCCTTCGAGAAAATCTGATGACAATTTTTTTGCTTGTGAGGAGAGTGAGTCGAGCTGACTGACAAGAAGAGTGAGGTGAGGTGAGACAGACAAGACGATGGAGGATGATTTAGTTTCGAAACGAGATGCAAAGCGACTGTTTGGCAATATTTTGGATTTTGAAAAGCCTGTTGACTTTTGCCGTTTATCTAAAGTGATTTTGGAAGTTTTTTAAAACATTTGTTTCTTATTTAATTGGTTCCACATTGTTTGCTGATTATTACTTTATTTAAACTTTGTCATTTAATTAATTTTTTTTACATCAAGGTGTATGCCGTGCCTTCAAGCTTTCTTACTCGTTTTGCTAATAAACATTCTACGTTTCTTATTTATTTGGTTATATATTATACATGTTTGTTGCATTCAAGCAATTGATGCGGAACTGCCGCTAATTGGAAAGTGAAAGTAAAATGCGCACACAGCTTTTACAAGCTATTTAAAAGCAAAGGAAAGCGAGGAAAAGAGGGAACACCCCCGCCCCCGCGTTGATACCGGTATTACCGGTGTTGTCACACGTCGATTAACCGGTGGGAACATTTCCTCACCGTCACAACCCTATGACAGACTGTGAATGTTAGTGTCTGGGCTTTTTTTCTAGTATAAGAGAGTATAGTATGCATGTCATTATTAAAGGGTTAGTTCACCAAAAAATTAAAATTAGCCCATAAATTACTCACCCCATCCATAAAAAAAAGTGTCTCACACGGCTCCGGGGGGTGAACAAAGGCCTTCTGTAGTGAATCGATGCATTTTTGTTAGAAAAATATCCATATTCAAAACGTAATAATCACTTTAATGTAGCTTGCGCTCACTATTGTACACTGGAAGCAGTTCTGGGCTGATGAGGTACGAGTTCAGCGCTGCGCATGTGCCGGTGAGTCTCGTGAAGACCAACGTTTGTTTACAGGAGCAAAGGAAGCAAACTTTCCTTACTTTAGCAAAGGAAAACCAGTCTCCTCTTGGCTTATATCCAAATCCTCCGACATTCGAGGAGAGTGAGTCGAGCTGACTGACAAGAAGAGTGAGGTGAGGTGAGACAGACAAGACGATGGCGGATGATTTAGTTTCGAAACGAGATGCAAAGCGACTGTTTGGCAATATTTTGGATTTTGAAAAGCCTGTTGACTTTTGCCGTTTATCTAAAGTGATTTTGGAAGTTTTTTAAAACATTTGTTTCTTATTTAATTGGTTCCACATTGTTTGCTGATTATTACTTTATTTAAACTTTGTCATTTAATTAATTTTTTT